ATGAGGACCAAGATGAATGCTAATAATGACGAGGACCAAGATGAATGCTGAGGATGATAATCCTGAGGACCAAGACGAATGCCGGTGAGGATATTCATGATGATGATAATGCTGAGGACCAAAACCAATGAATGCTAAGGAATAAAAAAAAAAAATAATTAATATTTATTTTTATAACATATTATATATATATATATATATAATTACCTGTTTGTTTGTTCGCTTGGGGTATTAGAAAAAATAAAATAAATGTATATTGATAAAACGAAAAAAAAAAATGAAAATGAAAAAAAAAAAAAATTTTCCCCCACACCACAAAAAAAAAAAAAAAAAAATTTTTAATAAAAAAAAAAAAAAAAAATAATTTAATTTAAAAAAATGAAATTTAATTAAAAAAAATTGAAATTTACCACACACACAAATTTCTACAAAGGAATTGCGAACATCATTATTAAAAATTATAATAATAACTTTTACAAACATAGCCTTTTAGATTTAATCTAAAAAACCACTTTAAGGAAAGTATAATAACTATAATATAAGGAAATTAATAAAAAATTGTAAAGGTTATAATTTAATTTATCTTTTTTTAATCATTAATGATTTTTGATTTTTGATTTATAATTTTTATTTAATTCTTTTAAATGATACTTAAAACATTATACTTACTTTTTCATTGTAGAAAATAATTTTTAAAAAAAATAAAATTAATTTTTTTTATTAATTAATTAATTATTTATATAATTTATAAAACTATATTTAAAGAAATAAAAATAGATTATTTATTTAATGATTAATTTAATATTAAAAAAATTAAATTTATTTTTAAAATTATAAATATGTGTTTTTTTAAATAAATTTAAATTTGTAATAAAAAAATAAAGTAGATTATAAATTTACTGTTTTTATGATACTAATAATGCTTTGATATAAAAATTAAATTAATTTAACAATGTATAAAAAAAAAAAAATTTAATTTTCATTTCAATTAAAAACAAACTATATATTAAAAAAATAAAAAAACTATATTATAAAATGTCAATTATTAGTAAATATTAATAAAGCTATATTTAAATTTTAAAAATATAAATATTAACATTATTTTTTGATTTTATTTTATTTTATTTAATTTTTCATAGAATCTATTTCATCAATGAACCCAGTTAACGGTGCCTCATCTAAATCAATGTTAAGCTCATCTGGAAGTGTCTCATTCTCTGATAATGAATCAGTTTGGTTCGGTAATAGCTTAGGTGGTGGCAGTTCATGTGGTTTCAATCCATGTTTTAATCCATGCAGTGGCGGTAACAGTAACATTATTAATATTGATATCGATATTGGTCATCTTCGTAGAAGATGCTGTTAAATTTACCCTAAAAATAAAATATATTTATATATATTACCTAAAACTGATTCGAGTATATTTTATCTGTGAAAAAAAAAAAATATCACTTATAAAAAAAACTATATTTAATTTTAATTTATATTATTATTTATATTATTTTATTTTTTTTATTTTAGTTTATTGAATTTATTAGTTCTGTTCTCTAGAAGATGGTTTGGTATGTGAGGTTGGTAGAAATGGTGAGCTGTTGTTATTTTATTAAATGGTGGTGATTTTAAATTATTTGATGATGGTGATTTTTTTTTAAATAATGAGTTCCAAATTGATGATGAACTATTTTTTGGAATTTAATGCTGTGTTTGGTTTAATACTACCACCAATGTTGTCATTTTGTCAAACTTTGTTTGAATCAAGATGTCTATTGATCATTTCCACCTGGTTTATTGGAACTCTTCAAACGGTCAGAGTTTAGCACTACGATCTTGATATTCGTCCTAAACAAATTCTAAATCAATAACCTATTTACATCTATTTTCGATATCTCATAAGAGTGATTCTTTGAGCGTACTAAATTTTAAAAGTTGAAGATTTGTTTGTTCTTTTAAAAAATTTAACTTTTCTTCCATTCCTTGTCTTATCTCCTTCTTCGATATTTCAATTTTCATTTCTAACTGTTTCCAAATGAACCTTTTGAGTCAGAAATCTCTAATTTTCTAAGTTGTTCAACCTGTATCATTTCAGTTGGAAGCTCGTCATCGAGATTTCTTGGATCTACTGCTATTTATTTGACTTTCTATAAACTGTTTGGTTTTTAAATCTTTTTCCATTGCTAAATTATAACTTTCAAATACATGTTCAATCTCTTTGATTCTATCACCATTGATTTCTTCTGAAGTATTCAATGGGATGATCGGTGAACTATTAGCACCTGCATTTGAAATACCAACATTAGATTTTTGATTAATTTGATGCTACCGCTTTTAATGGATTTATTTGTTCTGCTTTCTCTTCGAATTCATCAGTTTGCTTAGAAACCTATGCTGATGGATCCCCCCTATCAGTACGAGAACTCGGTGAAACTTTTGATACACCAACTGGAGTATCATGGCCAATGTTGAAGGATTCTTTACTGAATTTATCTTGAAGAATTGTAATCTCTGATTTAGTATTGTGATTTTCGGATTGAAGATCTTGGGCAAATTCTAATTGTTCTAAAAGTCTTTCTCTTCTTTTTTAAATAATTGCTTTTCTAATGAAATGTATTTTACTTTTAATACTTGATCTTTTTCTCTAATGACGGAGGCAATTGAAGTAGATTGTAAACCAGATGAACGAGGGGAATTATCAAAAGATTTCTAACTCCTTAATATAACCTTTGGGAATTTTAATTTCGTTTTCTGCTTTTGATAAGAGAATTTAAAGCTACACTTGTTTGTTGATTAGTTTTAGCCCTATTCTTAATGTTTTGATTTTTCCAAAAACTTCTACTTTTTAATAAACCATAAATTTTCTATTCTCTAAAAGTATTTATTGAGATAAATTATCATTCGAGGATGCATCCACATTCTCAAATTAGATTAGGGTCAATTATGTCGAAATAAATACAACATACATTTTTTTTTTTCAGGTAGTCTTGGTCCACTACGTTTATACGAGTATTGTCTTGGTCTTGCTGCTATTGCTTCTGTTTGTTTTTGTTGCTGTTGTGGTTGTGTTATTATATGTTCACCTACTTTGTATTTCTTGTTATGTTCATTTTGTTTTCTAATTTGTCTCTGAAAGCAGCTTATATCGTTTACTCAATTCTTTAATGATTTGTTCTAACTGGTATTGTTTCTGGTTGTTGTTGATGTTGTGGTATTATTATTTGATCACCAACTTTGTATTTCTTGGTATGCTCATAAGACAGAGACATTAATATTATTTTTATAGTTTGAAGAAAATTAGAAATTTGAAGTTTGGGAGATGTTGAAAATATTTTTTAATGGCTATGAGCTGCTAGCTGATGATGAACTACTATCTGATGAACTGCTATCTGATGAACCACTGCTGATGATGATCTGCTATTGATTATTATAATATGTTTTAATATTAGCTTTCTTAAAGGTTTCTAATAACTGAGGACTGATTATCGATTTATTGATTTACTGAGTTAATACTATTATTTTTTTTATAGATGACTAAAATTGGAGTATTTAAATATTGTGCTCTATTTTAATTAAATTTCTATATGATGATGGTGGTGGAAGTGTTATATTACCATTATTAATTAAAAAGCTATTACTGTTTTTATTGTTGCAACCGCTACTACCACTACTCATATTATTACAACTGCTTATACTATTACTACTACAACTTGCGCTTCGGGCTAAACTGGTACTATTATTATTTAGATTGCTATATTCACTAATACTATTATTTAAATTATAGTTACTATTACTATTTTTTAAACTGAATATTGTAGGTTCTGGTGCTGCTGTTGTTGTATTGTTATTACTATTACTATAACTATTTTTTAAACTGAATGCTAATGCTACTGTTGTTGTATAATTATTATTATTACTATTGTTTAAACTGAATGATGATGATGATGATGATGATAAAGCTGCTGTTGTGTTATTATTGTTATTATTGTTATTATTGATATTGATATTATAAGGTTCTATAATATTTACTCGATATTTTAATAGTAATTCTAATGATTTAATCGGTGATATTGAAAAACTTTTATTATTAATTGTGTAGTTTGGTAAAAATGTTGGTACATTCATTGATAGGAAATACTCCAATGCCTCCATAATATCCAAAGAGTATGCACATTCTACTAAATCAAACATGTGTAGCTGTTCTCTTTTCTTTTCGTATAGTAAACTAATTAAATTTACATCTGCATCTCTATTAGTCTCTAAAAAACGCTATGTCTCTAGATTTTATTAATATATATTCATCTGCCTGTATTATAATTAATAATTTAAAGTGTTATTACATATGTTTACTTTATAACAACAATCAATTAGTCTAAATGTTATTACCACTTACTTTTAATTTAATTTCTAATAAACTTCATAATTTTCTTTTGACCATATAACCCAATAATCTTATGTTTTAATTTAATTCTATTAAAGTAGAATTGGTTTATTGTGGTTGCAGCTGCTGTTGTGAATGTTGGGTATTGAAATTGGTCATGGGTTTTGATGAATAGTTTTTGCATACTGGTGTTTGTTCTATCATTTTAATACAAGATAAAAATAGTATTTGGTTATAAATAAATCTTATAAAAAAAAAATTGAAAAATGAAAAAAAAAAAAAAAAAAAAAAAAAAAAAAAAAAAAAAAAATTTAATTTATTTTTTTATTTTAAAATTTAATTTTTTTTTTTTTAAATTTTATAAAAAAATAAATTTGATATTTTTTAAAAAATATCTGATTAAATTTGATTTTGGTGGGATTTTTAAATTAAAATAATTTTTTTTAAAAAATAAAAACAAAATAATTTTAAAAAAAAGATTTTTTAAAAAATTTTTTGTTAATTTAAATTAATGTTTAATTGTTATTTATTTATTTAATTTTTAAAGTTAATAAAATGGAACTAATATCATTATTTTATTTTATTTATTTTATTTATTTTATTTATTTTATTTATTTATTTTTGTTTTTTTTTTTTCTATACTATTGGCCACTCTTTGTAAAGAGTGTTTCCAGCTCAACCACGGGGAGGTTAGTATATTTGAGCCGACAGCTAACTATTATACCACCACCCACAGTATAATAATTAGCCCTTTGAATTATCAGAATAGAATACAGGACCAAGCGGGGATGGTACCTATTCCATCAATACCAAACCAGCCTTGATACTTCACACTTGAATCTTCATACTTCATAGCCTTGAATCTTCTTGATTAAGAACACATAATTTAGTTTTGATAAGGGACCTATGCGTGGTGAACACTTGATAGCCTTGAATTTTCTTGAAAGTTTGGTAAATCTCAGAATACAGATACCAAGCGGGCCCTACCTGATACCTATACCCATCAATTTACCAAACTAGCCTTGATACTTCATTTTCTTGAATCTTCATACTTGATACCTTGAATCTTCTTGATTAAGAATATATAATTGAGTAGTTTTGATAAGGGAGATATGCATGGTGAACCCTTATCAACACTATGTTTAGATCTTTTTCTTGAATCTAATTCTGTAATAATCTTTGCAAATATTGATTACCTATAATATTTTTTTTAATTAATTATTATTTAAGTAAAGGTATTAATTTTATGAAAAAGTATTTTGGAAATAAATAAAAAAATATTTATAAAATTACAGTATTTGATTAAAAATTTTAAAGCTCGCTTTCTGTTATTTGTTTTTTTTTTGTTTATTATTATATGAATAAATAAATAAATAGTTCAAAATAATAATTATAATTAATATCTATACCATTCACCTGTCAGTTTTTTAAAGAGATCCACATTCAATAAAAAATGATTTGATATATGCCCGGGAATATATCCATTATATTAAGGAAATATGGTTTAAAAAACGGAGGATTACCACGATGCCAAACACTATGTGAATGTCACACCCCTGCTCCCTTACGGGCCATTAATAAGGTTACTTTGACATAAATAAATAATTAATTTTTATTATTTTGTTTACTATTTATTTACTATTTCATTTATTTATTATTATATTTATTATGATTAGTTTTTTTTAATTTTATACAAAAATTTATTAAAACTATTTCTTGAGTAAAAATAAATATATATAAATTTAAAAATGTGTTGTAAAATTATGGGGCATCTTTTCATAAGATTTTTTAAAACACATATTACCGCCATATTTATTTTTAAAATTCAAATAATTTTATAAAATTTTTTTTAAATTTTTCCCAATTTTTTTATTTTTATTTTTATTTTTATTTTTCAACACACAACACACCCACACAAATAATTTTAATAATGTAAAATATATTGTATCAAACCAAAAATAATAATTTTAACATTAACGAAATATGTTTAAAACCTTTTTAGAACAATTTAGAAATCAATACATTATTTTAAAACAACAACAACAATAATAATAACAACAAACCCACACACATAGAAACTAGCATCGTTGAAGAAATATAGAAAATAGACGCAGATCCACAAACATAAATTAAAACCATTCAATACCCCAACAGGATCTGCTGTCGTCGATATCATGAATGAAAGATTTTTAATCAATAATATAAATATTTAGTATATGTTTATCAAATGCACAGCGAACCTATTAAAATAGATTTTATACTATTTACAAGTAATAATAATAAACACCAATCCAATCATGAACTATAATAATAATAATAATAATAATCTCAAATTAATATCAATAACTATCATAAAAAGTCACAAAGTCGCAAAAACTCAAATTCTCATATAGTATTATGCTTCATCCTTCTACTGGCTTCTCCCACCATTTTTTCAACTTTATAAATGCAAACTTATAATCAGAATTGCCAAGTATTAGAGCTGTTCAAGTATATAGAGGTTATTTATTCATTGTAAATTAAAATATCTGGAGATTTCAACTTATTCTTATATCTTTAATTTCATCAAAATATGCAAGATAAAGAATAAATCAAGCTAACACCACAATTTAATAATGTAGATGGTGTCTTAATAGCTAAAAGTGAATATTAGAATATGACATACCCGAAATCTTTTCAGTATTAGGTTACATTATCAAAACAACATTTTAGCAATTAATCAAATAATTCAAAAAAACAATCAAATATTTAAATATCGAATTAAATAAATTTAATAATAGAGTACAATATTTAAATACTACAATTTTAGTCATCAATATATAAAAAAAATAATAGTATTAATTCAGTAAATCAATAATCAGCCTCAGTTATTAGAAGCCTTTAAGAAAGCTAATATTAAAACATTTTATAATAATAAAAAATCAATATAGTGCCAAACCAAAGGCAGTCCTCATTAAGAAATAACAGTCACACCCAAACATCACCAAATTCGACTTATTATCATTTAATTAATAAAACGCCTCACATTTTTCAGGACCATTTTGCAAGTTGTGCTGCTGCAAGTAGTGCTTCTGCTACAGGTGGTGCTACTGCAGAGGTGGCACAAGTGGTACAGGTGACACATGAACAAGTGGATCAACCAGCATATCAACAGGTATAATAGCAGGTAACTCTTCAGACCTGGAAAGACTCTTCAGATGCATTGGAGGACTTTTCAAGAGGTTCATCAGATAGCAGTTCATCATCATTAATGTTTAATAAAATAAAAAAAATATAAAAATCAAGAAAAAAAAAAGGCCACACCATGGATCTATCTAGTTCATGCTCATAGATAGATTTAGCCACACACCCGGTCAAACTCAAGCTCAGAGGGCATACAATTTTTTGCCACAAAATAAAATAATTAATTCAGTTTAAATTATGCAGTTGGCAATGATATTGTATGAATTATGGGATTTTATGGTTGTAAAATAAATAAAAAAATTAAATGTAAATTTAAAAGTTTATTTTAAAATTGGTGTTAATGTGTTTATTTATAGAAATTTTATCAATAATATTAATTCATTGGGGTTATACTTAAAATTTAAATAAGTGTATTGTTGTAGTATATAAATGGTTTTAAATATAGTTATTTAAAATAAAATATGTTTTAAAAAAAAATATTTATAATTAAATAAAAAATAAATTTACAGAAATATTTTTTCTATAAATAAATAAATAAAAATCAATGCATAAATTTTAATTATTTTTAGAAAAAAAAATTAAAAAAATATTAATTTTGAATTTTTTGAATTTTTTTTTTTTTTTTATCATCATTTATTCTAAGCGCTATTATAATAATAATAGCAACATATAATAATAGTAATGATTAATTTTTTTTTTTCAAAGTGGAAAAACAATATATTTTAAGCGAAATTCAAAAACACATCAGTTAAAGTAAATAATTATACATGCTATTTCTAAAATTGTTTTATATATAATGATATGCTAATTAAAATTGATATACAATTACTAAATTACTACACGTAGACGTATCACCAATAAATAGTTACTAATAAAATAAGTGATTATTCAATGGAATTTATACTAAATGGTAACATGGTACTGTCATTCGTTTTATACTCTATAATCAAACCATAATAATCAATATAAAGTCGGATGTAAAATTAAATCATGTTCGATACTGTGGAAAATTGGAATCTATTCAATCATCAAGTATGTACTATACAATAACAATAATAACACAACATCAGCTTAATCATCACCATCATCATTCAGTTTAAACAATAGTAATAATAATAATTATACAACAACAGTAACATTAGCATTCAGTTTAAAAAATAGTAATAGTAACTATAATTTAAATAGTAGTATTAGTGAATATAGCAATCTAAATAATAATAGTACCAGTTTAGCCCGAAGCGCAAGTTGTAGTTGTAATAGTAATGATAGTAAAAGTAACAACAATACAACAACAGCAGCACCGGATCCTACAACAGTCAGTTTACAAAATAGTTATAGTAAATATAATTTAAATAGTATTGGTGAATATAGCAATCTAAATAATAATAGTATCAGTTTAGCCCGAAGCGCAAGTTGTAGTAGTAATGATAGCAATGAAAGTAGCGTTAGTAGCGGTAGTAGCGGTTGCAACAATAAACAATAATAGCTTTTTAATTAATAATGGTAATATAACACTTTCACCACCACCATCATATAGAAATTTAAATAAAGAGAAATTTAATTAAAGAGGAATTAAAATCACCACCAAATTATATACTACTACATTTAAAAACATTAAATATCGGTAATATTCAAGAGACATTAGATAAGTTTCATTCAAACATAGCGGACCACCCAAAGATTACCTATGAAGCAAAAAAGAAATATCTCGAGTATTCAAATATTGAAGATATAGAAAAACTATTTAGAGCAATCAGTACATATTCTGCAGGTATAATCCTTCCACATAAAACCATTCAATAAACTCTCAATCAGTTTTATATAGAAGAAAGGATGTATATAGTTTAATAGTTAAATATGCCCTGATTTTTCGATCCACTATCATATCAATCCATTAGACATTTAATTGTTTTAGGATAAAAATTTATTTCTAAAATAGTAATATGTCGTTACAGAGAAAATTTTAAAAATAATTCTACCAAATCTAATTTTTCATCAAATGTTTCACCAGTTTACAATTATACGTCAACCTAAAAAAGAGAAAGAATAGATAAAGAACGTATTGAAAAAGAAATAAACTATAATTTTAGAACTCAAGAGAATAAAAATAAATAATTTTTTTTTTTATTTATTATTTTTTTTTAAATTATTTGTTGCTGTTGTGGTTGTGTTATTATATGATCACCTACTTTGTATTTCTTGGTATGTTCATTTTGTTTTCTAATTTGTCTCTGAAAGCAGCTTATTTTTTAATGGCTATGTACTGCTAGCTGATGATGAACTACTATATGATGAACCGCTATTTGATGAACCACTAGCCAATGATGATTTACTACCTGATGAACCTCTTGAAGAGTCCTCTAATGCATCTGAAGAGTCTTTCCAGAAGGCCATATTCTAATATTCACTTTTAGATATTAAGCCACCATCCACATTATTAAATTGTGGTTGTTAGTTTGGTTTATTTATTTTGATTTAATTATATATATGAGAGTTGCAATCTGCAAAGATTTTAATTTTTATTTCTACAATACTTGAACAGTTCTAATACCTGGTAAGTCTGATTATAAGTTTGCATTTATAAAGTAGAAAAAATGGTGAGAGATGCCAGTAGAAGGATGAAGCATAGTACTATATGGGAATAAAGCAATACCAATTAACTGTGGTGGAACATTTGTATTGTCTCTTTTACAATAAGATCTAGGTACTTGGGAAATAAGATGAATGAAACTTTTCTGTTTAACCATATGTTTAAGTATAGCAAGGGAAAGTTGGAGATACTATAAAGAATTTGTTTATTGAAACGATGACTTCATTTATGAAACTTGAACCTCTATCAGATACTAAATTCTTTGGGGATCATATTTTAAATATATTTGATAAGCAAAAACCATTGGACTGTTTCACAATTTGAACAACATTTACGAAAGCAATATTTCGTGGTTGGATTTATTAGACCAAATCTTTATATAATTGATTAAAATCCTTTCATTCATAATATCGACGACAGCAGATCCTAATTGAATGGCATGTTTTAATTGTTAAATCTGTCTTTTGAAAAGTTATTTTAATTTATATTAGTAATTCTGTTTTTATTCCTACAACGATGCCATTTTCTATATATATAAGGGTTTGTTGCTGTTGTTTTAAAATAATGTATTGATTTACTTACTTATTCTCGAAAGGTTTAAAACATATTTGAGTAATGTTATAATTATTATTATTTATTAGATGTGGTATAGTTTACATTATTAAAATTATTTATGTGTTTGTTTGTTGTTGTGATCGAAAAAAATAAAATAAAAAAAAAAAAAATTAAAAAAAAAAATAAAATTTTTTTTTTTTTTTTTTAAAAAATATCGATTTTTAAAAATAAATATAATTTTAAAAATTTAAAATGGGACTCCATAACGTGTTGATATTTACTAAAAATTGGGGGTATACTTTTGAAAGAATTACAGACAACACCCAAAGACAGCATATATGAAAATAAAATAAGAGAGTAATTAAATCAGGTATTATTCCCCTACTGTGATAACGATAATTGATAAAAACTGAAGATAATAATAATATTTCAATCACTATTAAAAGCTTAATAAACACAAAAGTAATAGTAATTAGTCATTCTGTTGCAGAAAATATTTTAATATTATTAAAAAGTGAAATTAATATCCAATTAGAGACTACAACGAAGATTGAACCTAATAACATCACCAGCAGTCTTAAATAAAATATTAATTAAACAACAAAGCACTACGATCAAAAAATTAAATAAATAAAATATTTTAATAACATTAAAAATATACAAATAAATAAATTTTTTTTTTTATTAAATATTTTATTTTTCTTTATTATAATCAAATAAAATATTGTTTATCTATTTTAAAATTCTTTTTTTTTTTTTTAATTATTATATAAATATATACTAAATATTGAATTATTTGGTGATACTAAAGAGTATGGAAATGATTCTAATAAAGAATTTGATATATAAATAAAAATATATTTTTTATATACATAATAACCAATAGCAAAGGTGGCAATAAAGATGGAACCTGCAACTATAACTGGATAACTGGTACTACCTTTTACATATTTAGCAATAGAATTCATAGCAATAAATGGTAAATCACTATTATTATGAATATTTAAACGACTGATTTCACGTGATTTTTGTTTACCTTCTTCTTCAGTTGGTAATTTTATAAATTGAATATGAACATATGATGGTTGACGGCAAAAGAATGGAATTTTAATTGAACGGGCTTCTGGTAATGGGCTGCTAATACTCTTTTTGTTTCTAATAGTCACAATAACATTTTGTGGATCATTTGATTGTTTTTGACAAGTGACTTTGAATGAATTATTATCACCTGGAGTGATTGAGAGTGAGTTTTGTTCTTTATTATCTGATGAAATAAATTTGGAATAAATCTTTGGTTGTAAAAGCCATGTCTCTTTACCACCACAGAAAGAAACCTCGGCCGATGAACCTAAACTTAATAAAAATTCTATTTGATCAGCTGGTGGAGAAGCAAAAATACGAATTTCTTCTCTCATTCCATTGTATTGAACTGAAATAACAGTTGAGCCTTCTTTTAGAGCCAAAAATTCACGAGATGAACATATGTCACTTGATATCTTTTGTTGGTCGACCTTTTCATGTGGTAAAATTTTGAAAATGGAATCATCTTTAACTTTCCATTCTAAATTATTAATTGAGCAAGATTCGAAATGAACTCCTTTTGGTAAATGCTTTGATAATAATTTAGTTGAGAGTACTAATTTTTTACCAACTTCGACCTCTACTTGAGATGATGAAAAAACAATTTGGTCTGGTTCTTGAACATTGACAAAAGATCTAGCAAAATTATTATTAGCAATAACACCTTTAGAATTGACATCAACAATGGATGTATTTCCAAATTTTGGATTACTTGATGACCAAATATAAGTTGAGTTTGGAATATCTATAAAAAAAATTAAGGTTAATATTTATTATCCAATATTTACTTTTTAAAAAAGTTCTATTTTAAGTTAATAATTTATAGTACCTGGAATGCAAAGTGAAGAACTTGGATTTAATTGGGGTGTTTCTGGGGTAAATCTTGATAAAAAAAATAAAAATATAACTAAAAATGATAGAAATAAAATTTTATTTACTATCATATTTAGGTTGATTTTATATACATAAAGACCAATAGCAAAGGCGGCAATAAAGATGGAACCTGCAACTATAATTGGATAATTGGTACTACCTTTTACATATTTAGCAATAGAATTCATAGCAATAAATGGTAAATCAATATTATTATGAATATTTAAACGACTGATTTCACCTGGTTTTTGTTTTTTCAATGATAAAATAGAATCTTGATGTATTGGATTCGATGATTGTATAATTTGTTTACCTTCTTCTTCAGTTGGTAATTTTATAAATTGAATATGAACATATGATGGTTGACGGCAAAAGAATGGAATTTTAATTGAATGGGCTTCTGGTAATGGGCTGCTAATACTCTTTTTGTTTCTAATAGTCACAATAACATTTTGTGGATCATTTGATTGTTTTTGACAAGTGACTTTGAATGAATTATTATCACCTGGAGTGATTGAGAGTGAGTTTTGTTCTTTATTATCTGATGAAATAGTTTTGGAATAAATCTTTGGTTGTAAAAGCCATGTCTCTTTACCACCACAGAAAGAAACCTCGGCCGATGAACCTAAACTTAATAAAAATTCTATTTGATCAGCTGGTGGAGAAGCAAAAATACGAATTTCTTCTCTCATTCCATTGTATTGAACTGAAATAACAGTTGAACCTTCTTTTAGAGCCAAAAATTCACGAGATGAACATATGTCACTTGATATCTTTTGTTGGTCAACCTTTTCATGTGGTAAAATTTTGAAAATGGAATCATCTTTAACTTTCCACTCTAAATTATTAATTGAACAAGATTCGAAATGAACTCCATTTGGTAAATGATTTGATAATAATTTAGTTGAGAGTACTAATTTTTTACCAACTTCGACCTCTACTTGAGATGATGAAAAAACAATTTGGTCTGGTTCTTGAACAATGACAACAGATCTAGCACAATTATTATTAGAAATAACACCTTTAGAATTGACATCAACAATGGATGTATTTCCAACTTTTGGATTCCAAATATAAGTTGGAGTTGAGTTTGGAAAATCTATAAAAAAAATTAAGGTTAATATTTTATCCAATATTTACTTTTTAAAAAAGTTCTATTTTTAGTTAATAGTTATAGTTTATTTTAGTCCCTGGAATGCAAATTGAAGAAATTGGATTTAATTGGGGTGTTTGGGTAAATCTTGATAAAAAAAATATAACTAAAAATGATAGAAATAAAATTTTATTTACTATCATATTTAGTTTGATTTTATATAAATATATAAATTTTTAAAATAATAAAGAAAGAAAAAGTTGAAAAAATAAAATATTGAAAAATGGGGGAATTTTATTTAATTAAAATTATAAAAAAAAAAAAATATTATTGTGTTGAAAAATTGTAAAAATAAAGCTATTATTTGTGTGAATAAAATAATAAAGAAAAAAAAAAAAAATGTTTTCTTTAATTCAAAAAAAAAAAAAAAAAAATTAAAATATAAAAAATAAATTCAAAAAAATTTATTTATTAAAAAGAAAGAATTGTTTAATTTTTTTTATAAAATAAAGAAAATAATTAAAAAAATATTTGTAAAGTAATAATTTAGTTTATATCTTTTTTTTATATTATAGATTGATCATTTTTTTTATTTGATTTCGATTTTTTATTTAATTCTCTTTTAAATGATACCCAAAACATTAAACTAACTTTTTCATTGTAAAAAAATGATTTTAAAAAAATAAAAAAAAAAATTAATTAAATTGATTATTTGTATGTTTTTTGAAACTAAATTTAAAGAAATAATTTTATATTATTAATTTAATGATTAGTTTTATAAAAAAAAATAAAAATATCCTTAAAAGCAACACAAGCTTACCTCGAATCGGGTTAGAAATAAGAAGAGATTATTGGAACGTGTTGGTATGAAAAATATAGAAGCTTTAGAAACTGCCCACAAGAGATACTCCAGCCACTCGTGCCACTCCCAGTTTTGTTATAATCTCTTATATTTACTAAAAGAAATTATAGATTCTTTATTATAATTCAATTTTTAATAATAATAATAAAAAAAAAATAAAAAAAAATAAAAAAAAATAAAAAAAAATAATTAATTTTTGTATTTCTGCACACACAATAATAATAATGATATTAATAATTTGTTCATTAATCATAAAAAAGAATGCTATTATATACAAATTTTAAAAAAAAAAAAAAAAGCTATTAAACTAAAAAAATTGATTTTATAAATTTTTTATAAATAAAAATAATATAACAGTCTCTCAAGTTTCCGAATCACACACGAATTGAAGTTACCGTGCCATAATAATTTAAATAAAAGAATCAAATAATAATACTTAAAAATTATAAAATTATAAAATTTTTTAAAAAATAAAAAATAAAAATAAAGCAGAAATAATTTTAAGCTTTTTTATTTATATTTAAAAAAAAAAATATTTATTTATATTAAAAAATATTAATATATATAAATAAACCTGTCTTTTGAATATTAATAAAAGTTAATTTAATTTATGTTTGTGGATATGCGTCTATTTTCTATATTTCTTCAACGATGCTAATTTCTATGTGTGTGGGTTTGTTGTTATTATTATTGTTGTTGTTGTTTTAAAATAATGTATTGATTTCTAAATTGTTCTAAAAAGGTTTTAAACATATTTCGCTAATGTTAAAATTATTATTTTTGGTGTAATATATTTTACATTATTAAAATTATTTGTGTGGGTGTGTTTGTTGTGTGTTGAAAAAAAATAAAAATAAAAATAAAATAAAAAAATTGGGAAAAATTTTATAAAATTATTTGAATTTTAAAAATAAATATGGCGGTAATATGTGTTTTAAAAAATCCTATAAAAAGATGCCCCATAATTTTACAACACATTTTTAAATTTACATATTTTTATTTTTTACTCAAAAAATATTCTTTATATTATAAATTTTTTGTATAAAATAAAAAAAAATTAATCATAATAAATATAATAATAAATATAATAATAAATAAATGAAATAATAAATAAATAGTAAACAAAATAATAATAATTAATTATTTATTTATGTCAAAGTATACCTAATCAATGGCCCGTAAGGGAGCAGGGGTGTGACATTCACATAGTGTTTGGCATCGTGGTAATCCTCCGTTTTTTAAACCATATTTCTTTAATATATGGATATATGCCCGGGCATATATCAAATCATATATTATTGAATGTGGACCTCTTTAAAAAACTGACAGGTGAATGGCATAGATATTAATTATAATTATTATTTTGAACTATTTATTTATTTATTCATATAATAAAACAAATAACAATTAAAATTTTTTATCAAATTCTGTAATTTTATAAAAATTTTTTTATTTATTTCATAAAATTAATACCTTTTTTGTTTAAAAAAATAAAAATTAATAAAAAATTAAATATTATAGGTTATCAAAATTTCAAAGATTATTAAAGAATTAGATTCAAGAAAAAGAGCTAAATAAAATGTTCACCATGCATAGTTCCCTTTTCAAAACTAAATAATGTGTTCTTTATCAAGAAGATTCAAGGTAGCAAGTATGAAGATTCAAGAAAATGAAGTATCAAAGCTGGTTTGGTTTATTGATGGGTATAGGTATCAGGTTGGGCCCTCTTGGTATCTGTATTCTGAGATTTACCAAACTTTCAAGTAAATTCAAGGCTATCAAGTATGAAGAATCAAGGCTGGTTTGGGTATATTGATGGTATAGGTACCAGGCCCGCTTGGTATCTGTATTCTGAGATTATCGAACCAAGGGCTAATTATTATACTGTGCGTGGCGGTATAATAGTTAGCTGTCGGCTCAAATATACTAACCTCCCCGTGGTTGAGCTGGAAACACTCTTTACAAAGAGTGGCTAATAGTATAAAAAAAAAAAAATAAATAAATA